GATCAATAGGAAAGTAACACGCAGAGGATGACGTCACAGGGGACCAATGACCTATTGACACGTTAAGTGGCGTGATCCATTGATCAATAAGAACAATCGATATGTCTTTTTCTTAGCGACAACAGACGGCGTCCTAATCATGCTAGCCGAGAGGTGCTGCTATCTAGTCTGAGGGGCGCAATTTTCGAACATTTACCTTTTTTCAATATTGGAAGAACTTTGGCTGCTTTCCATACGTCTGGGAAGTATGCATGGTTGATAGCATTGTTGAAAATAATTACTAGATCAGTAATTAATCTTAGAGGTAGGTATTTTAGGACTATTGACGGTATCTCATCTGGTCCGCTGGACATTTTATTTGGGAGCCTCCTTAGGATTTTTGTTAGCTGTGTGATGTTTATAAATGGCTGTTCCTTCTTATATTCTTCTGGAGCGTCTTTTTTAGTGTTGTTAAGTACATTTGGAATTATAAATTTATCCTGTGTTCTATTTGTTAATGGAGGAAAATGTTCTCTCTGCCTCAACATAGATTTAGCGTAGGAGATTTGTGGGTTAACCTCTCCGTACATTGTGTCAATTCTCTTCTTTAGTGAGATAGATTTCTGAGCACTTGTTTCTTTCCTTAGAGTTTTTTCGAATTTCAAGAATGTGCAGCCAGCATAGTTAGCTGGGTGGCCAGCTTTTCCACAGTTTGCACATTTGAAATTTTCTCTAGTTGTTTGGCCCGTCAGTGAACTTTGAGCAGGAGCATGCGAGCTAGATCCACACTTAACGCACCTGTATTCCATTTGACAGTTAGCGGCTGTATGACCAAGTCTTTGGCATTTTCTGCATTGGAGTATTCTGCTTCTTCGGAGGCGCTCCCACCTAGCCTTAAGATTGCATACATGTTTAATTTTAAGTAGTTCTTTTAAGCTACTAGTTTGGGTGATTTGTACAATTAAATGTCGCCTTTCTTCACCATCTCGCTTAAATTTTAACTCAGAAACTTTTTTAAATTCAACTGAGGGAATCTTTTTTGCTTTGAGGTCTTCTAGGACAATCTCGGGTGTAGTATCTTCACTCATTCCTTTGAGCAGAAGTGATTTAAGTTTCTCACCTCTTGGAGTGAATGTATAGAATTGGTAATTATTCTCTATGAGGACAGTTTTGATTGTCTCAAAAGTTGTTTGGTTTTTAGCTTGTACTGAGTGAAGACCTTTCGACATTGTAACTGTGAAAGCTTCTTGGTCCAGGTTATTGCTTCTTAGTACTCCAATTGTGGCATTAGCTTTCTCACCCTTAACAAAGATTGGTGGTGGTCGATATGATTTTACCGTTGGCGTTGGAATTTCATTTGTATGCTGACGTTGGCTGCTTGATCGTAGTTCATTGTTCTCCAGTGATTGGGAAACAGATTCTGTGTCCATTTCATTTTCGTTTATTATTTCGTCATTGGAGCTGGGCGTGTTGTCAAGCAGCTGGAATTTGTTATACACAGGTGGTGGCGCCATCTCTGCGCTGTTAGCCGAACTTACTTGAGGTTATGTTTAACGGCGTGTTTATTTGATCCGTCATCATTATTATTTTTTTTCTGCCAGCTTTTGTAAGCATCTTCGAGAGCAAACGAATTTCTAATCACATATGGAGTGACTCTTGAGTTCTTGATGTCCTTCGGCATAATTTGAGCGGATGCTTTGCGTTTGAGGCCTTGCTGATTCGCCTCATTAGGCGGCACGCCAGCCATAATAGCAAAGTCTTTTTAATGTTTATTTAGCTGATTATAAGTGGTTTTTTTTTCACAGGCACATAAAAAAGAACCAACACCCACCACTTTTAACTATTCTTGTTCGCTTTTTTGAGGCACTTTTCATAAATTTTCACTGCATAGAGCAATTGAAATTAATAAAACACGAGGCACTGAGACTTACGCGCTGCCTACAGACTTCAGTCTGATCAGTCTCATGCTCTACCGACGACAGTCTCGAACCGTATCAGTCAACCGGACTGTCGAGGGCGTCGACACTTTGAATGCAAGTCTGTTCCGTCATTTATCGGAACAGTAGTGGTAAGATGATACAACGGAGGATTTGGATAAGATACGCATTTACAAAGATGCCCGACCGAGTACTATGCAAAGAAATAGAAAGTATTTGTTTAGGACCTTTGGGTTTTATTGCGTCGGCATCTATTCATAGATTATAAGGAACAAATATAGCAATCACATAGGACATCTTATCTCGAATTCCTAGAAACTGGGACGCAGTATATTTGAACAGATATCCCCACTCCAAGGTCGCATCGGAGCTCTTTGGTGGGATGTATCGTGGAGGGGGGGAARAGGACAGTTACAGTTTAGCCCAAAAATAGTCAGTTGTCCAGACTCGTTAGGCGGAATCACATCCAAGTGATCCGAGCAGCATTCAATACATCACACAAGTACAACTAGTCAGTAACCCGAGGTTATTGCTAGTACTAAGCATCAAAGTTAGCGTAGATCGGTATACAAGGCCCAAGCACCATACTGATCTCTTGGAAACGAGTAATAATAAATAGTCACACAATATTACAATTTGAAGTGTATTATTTGGATCAACTCCTTCCGTCCTTACAACGCGGAAGTGGAAAGAGACAGCAGTCTTTTTCCTAGCACAGTGAGAAAGTGCGTGCACGAAAGCGTGCACAGTGCGGGAGTGGGAACCAGCACTACCGTACAACGTACATTTGGTTCTGCGAGTCGGATCAATCGTATATAAATGGTCCTTCGAGACGGATCAATGGTACATTGAATGGTCTTTCGAGCCGGATCAATCGTACATTAAATGGTTCTTCGAGCCGGATTGCTCTACGAAAGGTCGCGAACGATCAGCAAGCACGTTCGTGAATTCAATCAACGAGAGCAGCAATAGCATCAACGCCGAGGAAGAATAGGAAGACGCAGGAAGAGGCAATACACGGTATCCAGCCACGCAGCATCGACACGAGCATCTGCTGTCGGAAGGTATCGTTATCGGTAACAGGTCAGTCTCTTTTGCTTCTTAGCCTATCCTTCTCCTTCATTTAATATTGCTACTATCTCGGTACAAACATGGCTGAGCAATTAAGAGATTTACACATTAAACGGGGTCAGATTAAGGCATATATGACTAGAGCAAAGAGTCATATTGATAAACTAGCACAAACGCGTAGTACACCCCGCCTCAGGTTTCGTCGCGATGAGATCTTGGTCAAATTGCGTGAATTCGAAGAAGTGCAAACCAAAATCGAACTAATCGATGATAGTGTGGAACGTGAATCTTTTGAAGACGCGCTTTTTACAATCATCGGCAACATCGACGAATTATTGGAAGATTGGTCGAATTCAGCGCATTCCGCGTCGACGAATGCACCTTCTCCGACGCAATCACAATTATCCGCGGATTCTAACGGGCATATCAGGTTGCCGAAGATAGAATTACCACAATTCGGTGGTTCGTACGAAGAGTGGTATTCATTTCGCAATACTTTTAAGTCACTGATCCATGAAAACTCGTCGTTATCGTCGATCCAAAAGTTTCATTATCTTCGCTCGTCACTAAAAGGCGAGGCGGCGGCCATAACGCGGGCATTAACGATTTTGGACGTAAATTACGAAGAAGCGTGGAAATTGCTACAAAATAGATACGATAACAAGCGTAGAATAGTGCATACACATATAAGGGGTATTATGGATATACCTAAGATGCAAAAAGAAAATAGCGTTGCGCTGTGCCAATTAGTTGACGCTGCCGCAAGAAACACGAGGGCACTTAGTGCACTGCAAAGGCCGGTGAATCAGTCGGATGACTTACTGGTATGCACGGTGGTAGAAAAGTTAGACGCGAAAACGAACGAAGAGTGGGAAAACAAGCTTTCACCGTCAGAAGTGCCCACCTTCGCACAATTAATGGAATTCCTGACGCACCGGTGTCAGGTATTAGAAGCAATCGCAAACCCACCAATGCCGCTCGTGACGAATCACAACCGACCGAAACCGCGCCAAGCATTGTCTTCGCAGGTAACTACGAACATACTCGCGTGTCCGATATGCAAGGAAAGCCACCCGATTTACAAATGCGAAAGGTTCAGGAATATGCCAGTTAGGGATCGCGTCGCCGAGGCAAAGAAAAAAGGGTTATGCCTTAATTGCCTGCGGTCGACGAATCATTTTGCCATCGAATGCAATGCGAGTCGGTGTAAGGTGTGCAACCGGAAACATAACACCTTACTACATACCCAGTCAGAATCGTCGCAGGGTTCCACGGCCGTCGCTAACGAACGCGGCGAGTCAGATAGCGAAGCGGCGGTTGCAAACATGGGTCGCGGGTTAAAGGCAGCATCTCATCGGGAGGCGTTGCTTTTAACAGCGAAAGTCAATCTATTAGACGTAAATGAAAAACCAATAACCGTTCGGGCATTATTGGATTCGGGGTCCCAAGTAAATATAATCACGCGTAACTTAGCGCAGCGTCTAAGGCTGCAATCAAAGGAATTTCGTGCGCCGATGCCGGAATTGATCAAATGACGACACAGCCGCTACATCAAATGGAGGTTGTGCTCAAGTCCAACTACAATAACTAGCGGAGAAAAATAGATTGCGTAATACTAAATTCAATTACAAAAAAATTACCAGCTGTATCTATGGACGGGAATAAACTTGCGATTCCCGGTAATATAAGGCTAGCGGACCCCGCATTCTACGAAAGTGCGAATATCGACGTGTTATTGGGAATAGAGGTCTATCTAGAGATCTTATGTACGGGCCAAATAAAGGCAACGCGTTCGCATCCAACGCTGCAAAAAACGCAGTTGGGATGGGTGGTAGGCGGCTGTTTACGTGATGTAAAGGGCAGCCCCAAAGAGGTAGCATGTAACATCGCTACGCAAGTACAGGATGTTGACCAGTTGGTGTCGCGGTTTTGGGAACTGGATAACGTCGCGGATGTTCACCCGTTAACAGAGCAGGAACGGTACTGCGAAGAGCATTTCAAGGGAACGTACAGACGTGACGCGGACGGTCGATTCGTGGTACGCCTCCCTATCATAGAAGAAAAGATAGTAAGTCTCCAGGATAATAGGTACGCGGCGTTGAATCGGTTTTTCTCCCTAGAGCGCAAGTTAGCTAAAAATCCAACATTGCGAGATGCGTATTCAAGCTTTATAAAAGAATACCGGGACTTAGAGCACTTGCGGATGTTACCAGAGGATAAAGCAACTCCGCTAGGTACTTACTACATACCACATCATGCAATTTTAAACGAGAAAAGTGCAACGACCAAGTTGCGTGAGGTATTTGACGCGTCGGCCAAGTCGAAGTCAGGCATATCGTTAAACGACGCATTGGCCATAGGACCAAATATACAGGATGATTTATTTTCGATAATAGCGAGGTTTAGAACATACGCGTACGTGATAACAGCGGACATTCAGAAAATGTATAGATAGATCCGTGTCGACGAATCGCAGGTTAGCCTACAGAAGATATTCTGGCGTGATGATGTGCGAAACCCAGTGAGCACGTGTGAGCTACTAACTCTAACGTACGGTACGGCGTCGGCGTCATTTTTGGCTACGCGGTGTCTAAAAGAGATAGCGGATTTGGAGGAGGGAAATCATCCGATAGGCGCTCAAGTCATACGACGCGATTTTTATGTGGACGACTTGCTGACCGGAGCAGATTCGATTGCGGAGGTTAGAGAAATACGCGATCAGGTAGACCAGGTATTAGCCAAAGCAGGGTTTAAATTACATAAATGGGCGGCTAACTCGAGGAAAACATTACCGCACATTCCCGAAAAGGTCGATTCAAAGCAAATACTGAATCTAAATAAGGAAGGCGATATAAGGGCGTTGGGCGTCTTGTGGGATCCCAGCGATGACTCATTTCAGTATTCCGTTCCGATAGCGGCGCCAGTGCAACGAATCACGAAAAGGGTCATATTGGCATCGGTTGCTAAGGTATTCGATCCGTTGGGATTAATTGGGCCAGTCACCGTAACAGGGAAGGTTATCATACAAAGACTATGGCAAAGGAGCATACATTGGGACGAATCCATACCAATGGATTTAGAGACAGCATGGTTGCATTACGCGAAACAACTCCCAGTGCTAAATGACATAAGGGTCGAACGGAAAACTATTTGTAAAAACGCGAAGGAAATAGAGATGCACGGATTCGCGGACGCATCCGAAACGGCGTATGGGGCCTGCATCTATATAGTTTCGAAGGACGGGCGCGGAAACGGGAGCAGCAACTTATTGTGTGCGCGCTCGAGAGTAGCACCGTTAAAGGCGGTATCGCTACCGCGATTGGAGTTGTGCGCTACCGTATTGCTCGCGAGGATGATGAACAAGCTGAGGACGAGCATGCGCATAGAATTCAGGAAAATATGTTGCTGGTCAGACTCCACCATAGCATTGGCATGGATAAGGTCACCATCGCGAAATTGGACCACGTTTGTGGCCAATCGCGTGGCGGAAATTCAGGAGAGAATACCAAACGCGAAGTGGGGACATGTGCCTTCCGCCGAAAATCCAGCGGATTTCATATCGAGGGGGGTAACCCCAACAGAACTGTTAAGTCTGGATCTATGGTGGCACGGGCCAGGAATGGTCTTCGGGAACGCGACGGATACAGCTCCAGAAGTCCCACTCGAAGAATTGCCAGAACGTCAAAATACGAATGTCACGTGCACGATCGCGATGATAGGCCGCGACCAGAGGTCGCGAGAGTTTTGCGATCGTATATTCAATAAATATTCACAATTCACCCGACTAGTGCGGGTAATAGCATACTGCGACAGGTTTTGCAGAAACACGCGGCGTGCACAAACCAAGGACATCGGTCCGTTAACGGTGGCTGAAATCGCGCAAGCCAGGGAGCGTTTAATAAAGCTGTGTCAAGCGCAAGAGTTCGGCGAGGAAATAAGGGCAATAACAAAAAACCCAAAGATTATTGTACATGGTAGACTGGCGTGTCTTAAGCCGTTTCTGGATACCAACGGGATCATGCGTGTCGGGGGAAGGCTACAAAACGCGGACATACCGTACGGCAATAAGTACCCAATTGTGCTACCAAGATCGCACAAACTTACCGCGTTAATAATTCACCACGAACATATAAAAAATTTCCATGCGGGCCCGCAACTAACACTCGCGGTGGTAAGAGAGAATTATTGGCCCATGGCGGGCAGAAGTACAGTCCGCAGAATAATTCGGAGGTGCGTAGTTTGTTTTAAAAATGCGCCGATGAATTCGAGATATGTGATGGGTAATCTACCGGAATCACGGGTTACCCCCTCGCGACCATTCACAAACACCGGAATAGACTATTGCGGCCCTTTTTTGGTCAAAGAAGGGAGAAGACGGAATGCCAAATATGTGCGATATTTGTATGCATGGCGACAAAGGCCGTGCACATAGAATTAGTAACAGACATGTCAACAGACTGTTTTATAACGTGCCTGAAGCGATTTATGGCACGGCGGGGTAAGCCTGCCAATATATATTCGGATAATGGGACGAACTTCGTTGGGGCAAATCGGGCGTTAAGAGAGTTAAGAACGCAGGTTTTCAATGATATAGCAAAGGCAAAAATTAGCGATCAACTAAGCGTTGAGGGAGTGGCCTGGCATTACATTCCGCCAGGTGCTCCAAATTTCGGTGGCTTGTGGGAAGCGGCAGTGAAGGCTGCGAAATATCACCTGAGGCGCGTGGTAGGGAATACTTCATTAACGTTCGAAGAGTTAAGTACCGTACAACGTACATTTGGTTCTGCGAGTCGGATCAATCGTACATAAATGGTCCTTCGAGCCAGATCAATCGTACAAAGTCTTAGGCCTGACATTGTGATCCGGGACGAACGGACCAAAAAAGTCCTTATTATTGATGTAGCCGTGCCTTTTGAAAACCGGAGGGAGGCCATCGAGGAGACTAGATTCATCAAAGTAGCAAAATACACTCCCCTGGCCAATGATCTCCGGCAGCACGGCTACGAGGTCTCTGTCGTCCCATTCACGGTCGGCGCTCTCGGCGCGTGKGACCWGCGGAATGARCACGTCATTGGTCTCCTCCGTGCCAACAAAAGATATGCTGGCATGATGAGGAGGCTGATGGTCAGTGAAACCATCCGTTGGTCCCGCGATATCTACGTCGAACATGTGTCCGGTGTCCGACAGTACTAACGCGACAAATTCTATAAWACCTTGCCACGGTGAACCGGACTCCTCGGTCGTGGGGGAGACCGGCGTAAGTCGAGTCGCGATTTTATATATCTATTTATTAAAACCTACCATTTATTTATTTATTTATTAAATCTTAATACTTATTTATACTTTATATTTTCGACACGCCATTTTTCTTTTTTTTTTTTTTTCTCTTTCTTCTATGCACATATTAAATACAAAATTATATTTACTACATTTATTTGAACTAGTATTATATTTAATGGTTTTTTTATACTATTTTTACTACTTTCTACTTTCTTTATATATTTAATTTATATCAGAAACCATTATATCTCTTATACTTATGTAATTTTCCTCCCTCATGTAGGGGAGTCGATTGTATTAAACCTCTCTTCGGAGAGGAAACATTTGTTCAACTATTGTCCTGGTCCACCAGTGGGAAGAGACCCCCCAACACACGGCCAAACACGTCCGGTTCCAGCACCTCGGTAACTGGCGCCGCGTACGGCCTCAGCTTCCCCAGGACCCCGCACGATGGCCTATTGTCTTGCGGCCAGTATCTCTACAGACAATGCACTCTATCCTGCTGATGCAGTTCTTAGCAACATGGTCGGGTCTTCCGCATCTGTAACTGTTGATGTTTGGTGGATTAAATAAAATAGTTGTGGGTTAATAAACTCTAACTGTAACTCTTTATTATAATCCTAGAATAATTTTTAACATTCTAAGTGTTACGATTGGCCGCTTGCTTTCTAACAACTGAACGTGCACACGCATGCTGGCTACAATGTAGCTCCCTGCCATAGGCTCTCGACACACACTCATATATATATATATATGTAACGTTTATATCTATCTATCAGGTTGGATAGTATGGAAATAACTCGAATAACGTGTTGCTCTGTAAAACAAAGAAACGACAATTTAAGCCGGTTACTTCTAATGCTCTTTCGAGGTCACTTATATTATTATATTTGTATTATTCTATTA